GTGTTCCAGTTTTCCAATATTTTGATTCTTAATTCAATATCAAAGCTTGAGAACCATATACTGACTAAAATGTATACTTTCATGATTAAATTTCATACATCTTACACTAATATGATTTCGTCATAACTGCAAGCCTGTTTACTCCCTTTCAGTCATCACGTACGGCAGTTGCACACACGCCTTTGGTTTCTTTTGGTCCGACTTCCATAATAGCAGATCCTTCATTATATGTTGCTGATGCCACTAGTTCATCTTTTGAAGAAGCTGCTAACTGTTCAAGCAAAGAAGACTCGGAAAATTCCGATGAGATAACTGCAGAGTACTGCCTTTCTTTTTATACCAGCTTTCTTAACTTTGTTTTTGCATTTTTTGATTTTGCGTTAAATAATAAGCGGTACTGTGGTAATCATGGCGTTTTTTAAAGTTCTGAAATTTTTAAAATTTTGTATTCAGGTCATTTAATTTGTTCCCTACCGAAGAATCAGACGGCATGCAACGTTTAGATGTTGATGAAGAATTTTTGCCTGAAAACATAGAGGAGGTAAAACGAAACCTTGTTACTGCGAGCGACAGTATTATTATTCGTTTGGCTTCAGAGTTAGATGTTTTACCGCAACCTAGTAATGTAAGTTGCGTTTGGAATTTCCTGTTTTGCAGTCTTAGCGATTTGTGATATAGTTAAAAGTAGCATCTTTTAAATAAATTTTTCAACGTTTCTTGTCTTTTAGTCATGAATGCAATCTTTCAGAGTGAAACGTGGCAGTTGAAAAAAGAACCAGAAGCTGATGAAGGTAGTTTAAAAAAGAACTCATTATTAGTTGGACAGGTACAAAGTGGAAGTTTTGTAACCGAAGAGGTTGATTTAGTGCCCCCACCAGTCCCTTGTCATCGTCGTTTCCGGAGTGACAATACTGACAGAAATTCCTTGTTCATTTCAAAGCAAGAAAATCATATGAAATGGGAGGCAAGTTTACCTCCGTTTTCTGGCAACGTTTGCTAGGACTTTTATTCTGTTGCTCACTTGATTTTGCGATGGTATGCTTTGTAGGATTCTAATACGTTCGCATTCACTTGATTATTACAGAGCCCTTCTGCAGACGATAGTGTCTTTACTCATCATATCGAAGTGCAGAATACCACTGTAGGCAACCGTAGTCAGAGTCAATCACTTTTACCTGGCAGTTTGGGTTCAGATGGAACAAGTGTCACTCAAGATGACTTTGCTTGTCAAAGGAACTTGTCTACATCAACCCCTTTCGTTAATGGTGGGTCTCATAGTGTTGTTGCAGCAAAAAAAATGACTCTTTTTGAATTTTATGCTACGGATTTTGTAGATGATTGATGTTTACTGGTATTTTGGCTGTTTTTTTGAGTTGGTTAATCAATTTGTTCCCAATGACGTG